TCAGCTCTTATCGGCAGCCTAAACAACAACAACAACAACAACAACAACAACAATGTAAAGTTTTATCACGGCAGCAACAATCATCATCAGCATTCCCAGCAACAACAACAACAACATCCTCAACAACATCATCAACAACAGCAGCAACACAACAACGACGAATCGTTCCAGTGTCCATCGCCTTGCTTCTGCAACCATCCCAGTAGGATTGTTTATTGCTCGAAGAAGAATCTGACTCGCATTCCGAACTCCATACCAGGAAACACTCTGCAACTGATCCTCAACTTCAACCAGTTCCAGTCGAGTCGGATCTCGGTTCAAAACTTCAGCAACTTTTCCTCGCTAGAGCATCTCTACCTGAGCAAATGTGGCATCGAATATATCGAGGTGGATACGTTCATCGTTGTGAAGAAACTCCAGTGGCTCGATTTGAGCAACAACAAGATTCGCTATCTCAAAGGATCGGCGTTCAATGGACTCTCCCTCAAACATCTCTTTTTGAACGGGAACAAACATTTAAAACTAGAGTTGGACTCTTTTGTCGGTTTAATAACGAGCGGTTTGTATTTACACGAATGCCAGTTGAAACATCTAAACGTCCAAGTATTCGAACCGATCAAATCGAATCTCCTCTATTTGTGGCTCAACGATAATTTCATACCGAGTTTTGAACCAGCTTTCGAGCAGTTTTTTTCAAACTTGCAACATTTGAGGCTGGGATCGAATCCGCTGAGATGCGATTGCGACGCTTCCTGGTTAAAACGATTATTCGATTCGAAACCGGATATCTTCAAGGGCGCCACGGCACCGAGTTGTTCAGAACCGTATCTACTATCCGTCAAATCTTTTACTGACTTATCGATCGAAGATTTTACATGCATAGCTCCGAGTTTCGGTAACCTAGCGGCGGATATTAGCTTTGAATCTGCGCGATTGCAGTGCACCGCCAGCGGCTCGCCACCACCGACGCTGTTCTGGGTCGAACCATCCGGTCAAATAACGAGTTTCGAACCGCCTCAAAAACCCATTAACGACGACGACGATGATGATGATGATGACGATGGTGGTGGTGATGATAACGCTGATGATGGGAATAAAGATGAAGATAGAAGTGATGGTGATGAAGATGAAGATGTTGATAGGAACAACAACAACAACAACAACAATAAAAAAAAGTTGTGGAGTAGGTTATCAGCGGGCAGTGGTAAACAACGCGGCATATCATTAAAGAACGGCAGCAACAACAATACAAAGAACCCACAATTTTCTAATACGTCATCATCTTACTCCTCGCCGTCATCCTCATCATCATCTACTGTGACGTCACCGCGAAACAAATCGATGACGTCATGGCGTAGGAATAACAGATCTCAGCATACCGAAGCCTCACTACTGGTCAACAGATCAAACCTACCGGCCACTTCCGGTATGTTTATCTGCATTGCTAAAAATAGCGCCGG